AATTCAAAAGCACCAAATAATTTATTTCATCATCACATCTTTAAGAAGTCATTCAGAACTCAGCATTGTAGAACTTTGCAAACAAACTTTAATCAGAGGAACAAGAGCACATGCTGGATGTTCAAAACAAAACTCAGGCATCCATCAGTAAAAACATTTTTCTATCTCTATGAACCCTTGTCAGTCCCACCTTTTAGAGCTATTTAATGCCAGAGTGAAAACAAACTAATTTTGACCATAAAATGAAGATTAAAAAATAATAATAAAATCAAGTCCTTGCAACGTTTAGTGCCATGCCATTGTTTGTGCAAGGCACATTTAGTAAACAGGGTTAACCTAGCAAAACAGATGAAACTTCAGTCTTACATCAGGTAAATTATTTTATAGAGGAAGTAGCCCTGTTCCATCGCCGTGCAATTTGTAAACAGATATGCACATTCCCAGCAATTCAAAGGTTGAACCGTGAATTAAGTGCTTGGGTATTGCTATTTTATAGTTCACCACATGATTCATCCAATTTCACAAACAGACAAAGCTTTCTGATTACAAAGATACCCATGTACTGGTTTGTACATTGGTTTGGCACATAAAGCACAATATATGAAATTATCCTCCCCTTTTTAATGTACATTTTTACAGACGGAGAGAGCACTTTAAACTTTAAACACTAAGGTTTTTATAATATGGCTGCTTGTAAGTAAAAATAAGTGCATTTCTGAGAATTGCTAACCTAAAGGAATCATTAGCACAAGTTTTCAACCAGAATTAGACTTTTATACACATTGCAAGTTTATCTTGGATCTGCTACATTTAATACAACATCTTGAATGTTTGTACTATAGCAGTATGATGCATTGACTAGGAAACGACAACTCAAGCTTAACATGCAACTGCAAACTTGACCACTAGATGGTACGTTATGTTGCTCTGCAATGGCTGATATATAAGCTACATCCCAGCAGATGGTCCTGCTTGTTCAGTCTATTTATAAAATGCTATATTAAAACAAATCAACTGTTTCAACCATTATATTCCCAAGAAAAAATAATCTGTAATTACTTTGAAAAGCTTCCCCAAAACAGTAACTTACAGTATTTTCTTTTAATTCCTAAATGTAATTATTTGCAGCTAAAATTGCAGAAGGTTGATTTTCTGTGCCCTCTCATTTATTACTGGTACGCAGAATAGCACATCCAATAAAGTCTTTGAAATATAAATCAAACAAGCTGGAGCATAAATAAAACACAAAGCAATCACTCTGCTAAAATAATTTAGCTGCAAGCGGTCACGTATTCCTTCAACTAAATATATGATCCCCCCCTTTTTTCATACCCACACATATTTTTGATCATATTTCATCACCGTTTTTAATCACTGTACTACTGTGTTTTATTACTGTGTCTATGCTGTCTTATTTGCAACTGAACATTCCTGCAGCTCACTCCCCAAAACCATGTAGGCAGGCATATCGACAATGCAGATTACATGGATAAATAATTTAAAACACTTACAAGACCTGTCATCTTTAGTGGTATGAACCAACTCAGTTTTAAAGCTGTCTTTGTGATAGAGATGGAAAATGCAGTATGATCATAATACATTTAGTAATCAACCCACAACTGTGTTATTACACGTATATAAGAAATGTGCTATCTTTTTAACTGATGTGTACTCTATATATAAATTCCCCTTGACTCATCCATTAGTGGTCAAAATATGGAGGTTGTTTCAAAGGTACCAATCTTAGACTTCTACCGACTGGCTGAGCAAATGCACCCAAATACCCATTAGCTTAAATTATAAGAATGCTGAGATTAATTCACATAAATATATGTAGACTTGTGCCAAATTAGGCATCCTCTTCAAATATTTCTTCAAGTAGGGCGAATTCCCATCAGTAAGTCACATGTGTCTTCTGTAATTGTTGTACTACGATGGCCATGGCACTCGGAGACGACTGAAGCATTATGGTTTCAAGATGGCCACCTATTGCCATGCAGTGATACGTAGCTCCAAAGTCAGAATGCGCATTACACACGCAGCAGTCTCACTTCCACACGCATACAGTTTCCGAAGCAGTCTAGTTAACAGTTTTGAGGGTGGGGCTCTAACTGAGATCCTGGTCATATCTGCCCTTGATCATTGTTTTCAGTAAAGGTCCGACCTATAGAAAAACAAAAAGGATTCATGGTTAGAATCAGCTACTTCATATAGTGTCCGACATATTACATTGTTTTACCCATTGTCCCAGACCGCATATATCTTTTCTTTGTACTAAATCAGGTAAGCCATAAATATTCGCAGTAATTGGGTTGCTGGAAGGGTCAGCATGCCCTAGGGACTTCATGTAACAGGTGACCTAAATGTGGATCTGATTTAATGTTCTAGAAACTGTCAGTGTGACATTCATGTGTGACTTATGCTGTCAGTACACTGATTATAGGAAGGAGTTGGTATTGTGCAAGGGATATAAAAGCAAGTTTTACCTCATGTGGGTCTCCAAGTGCTTCTCCCAGCATCTTCTCAATGTTTCTCATGATGGCCACCTTCTGATGCGCTCGTAGGGGATATTCGATCCTCTTGGGTGTGGGGGCACCCTGAACAAATGAGTCAAATAGGTGAGTGATCATGAAGAAACATGCCAGTAACACAAATGTTAAAGTAATAGTTGTAATAACTCAAATATGCGTACTTTGTACCAGAAGTTTACAGTGACCGTCACTCCACCGTTCAACAGTGATTCAATGTGATGCCACCTGAAGAAAGAAGAAAATTGCAAATTTGGGTATGAAAGAGCAACTTCCTGAAGTTCTTCTTGCCACCAAACTACCTGTTATTTCATGTTAGCATCATAAATGCAAGTACGAGATTGCTCTAGAAACTACATGCAGTATAAGCAAGTGGAAATAAAATGTGGCAGGACTAAGAGTGTAATGAGCAGAGGATAGATTATCTCAGACATCTACTGTGGGAGAAAGAGGCAGTATAGTAATCAGGTAACACACAGTTGTCTTACACTTTCTTAGTGATGACATAGAAAGAATGAGAAAAAAGAAAAAAAAGTCAATGCAAGGAAATGTAATCAC